TATCCTTTGAGTAAATCACTGACGCCTTTTATCCAAGAGTAAGGAAGCTGTGACTCAAAGAAGTAATTGACTGCCGTTTTCAGATCACATTAAGTTACAAATTTTCTTTCCACAACGGGATGCTCAAGAAGGCGGAGCGCATGGTAGGTAAATGGGCAACACTTAGGGAGTACGACTGATAAACAACCTGGAACCAACTCAAATCGTAAACCTTTTGAAGCGTGTTTAAAGCGAAATTTTGACTTGCGTTGACCCTCTGTAGAGACCTGATTTACGGTTTTGATCGTCCTTTTCTAACCCCGCTGGCCAAATTTCGGAGTTCATAGGGGTACCCGATAGCTCTGTCCATCTAGTCTGCGTCNGTAGGGATGGTGCTTGCGCTACTTCGAAGGCTAGTATCTCCTCCAGTGAAGCGATCCAACCGATTGTTGACCGTTGATCGGTGAGCAGTGCCAGCACTGAATAAGTTGCTGGTAATGTGAGCTGCTACACACGCGTTTTTTCCTTGGCGTGCTTAGAAGAAGGTGATGGTCCGAATCGGGTGTTGTCCATTTATTGACCGCAATGCTGCTAAAGCCCACACGCGTGCCGTTTTTTACTCACGTGTTGATTACCTGGGTAATGTCCTACAAGTTTATAACTTATAGTTTATAACTCTTGCTACCGTGTTCACACTGTTGATACAAATTGTTGGCGCTTCAAATTTTTTGTCGCAGGACTTTCCTTCCAACCTAATATCTTGCCTATGGTAAAGTAAAGATTCGTAAGTGCGGGGAAAAGCTATGGCTTCAAGATCGGAATTGAGGGCTGCAAGTCTACAAACTGCTCAAATTCCACTTCAGGTTCCTAACACCTGCTTCACTGAATACAGCATAGTCCGGAAAAAATCTTTTTCCAATTGATCGTGCAGTCAACGAAATCCGTTGGCAACATAATTCTTCAATAAAAGTTGGAAACACAAATTTCGTATTTTTCAAAAAAAAAACTTTTTTTAGGTGTTACCATGGGTTTTTTTTACAATGAAAAAACTTGCCTTTTTTGTGCGCTCTATTCTATTAACAAAGAGTCAGTATAGAATTAGAGTTTAGCCATTTCAGAAGTGATCAGAAAAGGTAAAACTATGTGAACATAAAAGCATCTAATTGGAACCTACCTTAACCTTCTACTGAAGAAGTAGCCAACCTCTGATCATAAGAAATGGCATCCTGAAGTCTTCCGTTATTTTTGACCTCATTTGAATTGAACAAGACAGGCTCCACCCTGAAAACTTGCAAAAAAGAAGTTTTCCTCTCGAAAAACTGGTCTTAACAGAATGCTCACCTCAAAACAGCGAAACCTTCAAGAGTAAGTACCGAGGCTATTCACCTTAGCCTGCTCCTTCATAATCGAAATGTCCGTGGATTTCGCATAAGACGGGATCCGTCAAAGCTTGATGTGCTAACCTTTATGATAGTAACGCATCTCCATACATACTATAAAATATCATCATTACTCGATGTTTACTACAACAATACGCCACAAACGAATCACACAAAACCCCTAAATATGGACTACATCGTTCAATGCAAAAGGAATCAGAGTGGACAGAGTGCAAGTTGAGAAATGGAAGGAAAGAGGTGAGGAAATGAGTATAGGGTAACAGTATTTCCGGAGTTTCCGGAAGAAATATCACACGTGGGCTTCGAAGCGAAGTACCTTCCTGACAGTATGTTACCGTGACAGGAAAAGGAAACAGTAGCTAAAAAAAAACAAAAAATAGCTAGAGGACCTCACAGCATAAGAGCAGGAATCAGTAATCCTCAGCAAAGTCTTACACAAACAAAAAAACTGGTGAAATCGTCACCACGGATTGAAAAAATGTCACTCGGGGAAGCCGCTGAATCCACTGCCAGGATCGATTGATATTTCATTGATTGCGATATCTTGCGGACGTAGATCACGGGTGATAAGGTAGATCATGAGGTAACAAAAAGTTGAGAAATCGGTCTTCAATTCATTAAAAGAAACTAAAGTGAAATAGTGCATGACCCAACCAATCAATACTTATCTGATCCACGGTAGCAGATTCTCGATTTCCTGCGGTGTGGCTTTCAAGCCCCTCACGTTTCTTCGTGAACGAAGGAATTCTCTTTATCCCTGTATCACTGATTCCATTCATCTCTTGAAAAGGATCGATGCTTTGTTGGACTGTTGTCTCAAAAAAAGAAAGGAGAATAAAAAGACGAAACTCGCCTGAATTGTTTTGTCTCTGTTTAGAGACCACTTTCCATTCAAAACGCGATGGAGTCCCCATGGGCTATGAATTGTTCAATGGCTAGACGCAGAGTTTGGAGGGTTGAGAACAGACGAGGTAGAAGTACTGCACTTTTATCTTGTGTCAATCTGCCAACTGGTAAGTTTGGTAGGCTTGTTTAGCTACTACCTGCAGTGGAACAGTGTCGATTCACGATTTGAGCCATGAGCCGTGCTCGTGGTAGACGCTACTTGGTACTTATCCGTACCCGTTATTAATGATAATAAACGATAGTGAAAGATGATGGTAATAATAAGTGGTAATAATCAACGATCGCAGTGGATTACTTCCATGAGAAACAGAACGTATCTTGTGTAACGTTGGTGTGACTCATTTTACAATGCTTGAACGTTTCAAGGATGCTGCCCGTGAGTTGTGCTCCTTTGTAATATATTTGTGACTCAATGAGCGATTTTGGAACTTCTTTCAATTTTCTTCCATCCCTTTTTACAGGTTAGCTTTCGGACCTAATGTACTCTTCAGAACTTGAATTACACCCCCCTGTAAGCCGACCAGTCCAGGAAAGATTTCGTTACATCCTGTATACCTCATTTTCTGTTCCCTTCTAGGACTAATAGACTCTTTAGGATCATTTCCGGTTACAAAATTCCGAATTATAGGCATTCTTACCAGTTAAACTGCAAAACCCCTAGGATTTATCTGGACGAGTATTGAAGGCTATAAGACCTTATGGAGCCTGTCCAAGCATTCAGATCATCTGCGCTCGTCCCAACCAGGCCCTCGCAAGTTCACATCTTCCCTGTCTTCACAGTCTCCAACCGACACCTTGAGTACTTGATGCCAGATGCTGCTGATCGGAAGAAAAATTCCTCTCCTTCGCGACCACCGAGCTTTTTTCACATCGTCCAGTTCGTATTCTTGGCTACAGCAGCTTGAGAATATCTTGCAACTTCTGTAGATAGCTGGGTTTCTTAGGCTTGTTCCTTTGCCATGCATCTGGGCTCCTCTGCTTTACAACTCGCTGGATTTCATCGTTCCAGAACCACGCTTTATCCTGCCAGAGATATCCACCCTGAGTTTCTTTAAAGTATACTGTACAATGCGAGATGGCATTCACAGCGTTGCTCCAAGTCTGCTGTATCAGTTCTATAAGATCTGGAAAACCACCTTCCAATGTGTCCCCTTATACCTAAATGTGCTTAGACATGGTATCGCTAGCAACAACCGCCTTTATATCCACACTTTCCTCGTTAACTATTACAAGTTTTTGTGAGTTACTTATAAGCTAAGCTGAAGTATCGTTTGTAATTTGAGATCTGAAAAGGCATTAAATCCGATAGCTAACCAATAAATCTGCTTACTGCTCATTCGGAATAATTGTGGAAGGAGTTGGAAGTGGGCAGCATTTGACAAATTTCTCAACAGGGTTTACCGGCTCAAAGATGAAAGAAGGAGCAGTTGCCACCAAAGAAGCTTCACGTGGGTTTTCCAATTAGAACAGCAAGATTTTTTCAAAAGAAAATTAACCCCTCATTCGGCTTTCACCCAGAATAGTGGTGACTTGCACCATGCTTGGTGCTTTTATCCGCCCAGACGAGACTGAGACCGATTAACTGACTTGGGTACGACATTCTTCGGCCTCCTCTCAGTTCAGTCTATTCCTACAAAGAGATTGGTATAAAAGCCACTGAATTAAATCCTTTCAGTTGATGTTCGAGATGCTGCGCAAGAGAAACATGCTCAGTTCAAAGAATGTATGTAGAACACGAGTGAAGCTGTGGTACTTTCGCGAACCGTTCTCACCTCTGTTCGAGAACGAATAATAGTAACCAGCTCCAAATTGACCGTTCTGCATAAATGATCTTAAATGATTTTCAGTTCCTTCAGGGAGAGCAGAAAAACAAGCGGAAAAGGAAAAAGAAGCCGAAGCTGCGCAAGCCGCAGGGAAAGACAACGAGCCTCAGAAGGAATAGAAATCAAAATACCTCCATGAATTAATACATAAACTACCAGTACTGACAATCTTTCTTATGTATAAAGCAGTAACTTGGTATGTCGTTTGATTGCCGCTATGTCTGTCCGTCCACAAAACTAGCCCATTATGGTTAATGGTGTGATTCTGCAGCCCTACCGATAACTGGGGTAGTAGCACTCAGGAATAAGGCCAGTTTCTGTGGTATTACGGATAGCGGCGCTGGGGGACTTGTGAGTAAAGCGCAAAACCAATATGACAGGATATCAATATTTATCAAGGCAATTACAGAAGTATACATAAAGCTACTATTATACTCTGCATTCACGTAAAAAACAAAGATCACTGCTCAAAAGGAAATATTATCGGGCTTAGTTGCATTAAAATCTACATATACATGAAGAAATAGCTGTTCTCTGACATTAACTACTGTAATTACGACCGCAATTCGGAAAACCCAGAGAAAGCTGTGACTTAATAAGCTGCGCTGTAACCTAATAATTAGAAGAAAGGCGTTTACAAAGATAACCTGTACAACGAAGAGAAAACAATGAATATGTTAATCACCGCTAAGGCTTTTGGCATTCTGACTAAGAGCTCAGCATTCCTTCTAACGGGAGATTAATGCAAAATTGTCATTAATACAGTCTCAAAATCGGATGTTAATCCTGAGTAGAGTTCAATAAATAAGAAGAAGAGAAATAAGGCAATGCGTTGCTTCAATATAAACGAACTATTTCCTCACCGTATAAGACAGTATGCCAACTGTTCACCTTATGCTTTTACACCCCAATTATTCACTATATCCTTGAACGCCTGTGTACCGTACTTAACGTCCCGTACCTAAAAAAGTAGTTGTTGTGAGCAAAGTTGAGCGACTAATACAGTTCAAAAACCACAAGTACTGCTCGGTGAAAGAAGGAAAAAATTTGGAATCTGAGTCACCTTTGGTTGCGTTTGAGCTGGAAGCGCAAAGAGGTTTGGAAATGGTTGCCCCGGGCATATATCCTTCCAGTACTGATGAAGCCGCGCCCGTAACTGAAAATAAACGCTAGTTAGATCTATTTCAGACAGGAAAGCAATGCAGAAAGAGGATTTGATGTGTTGGCTAAATCGAAAGTGAATAGTTCATAATGGGAAAACACAGGAAAACGGGCCAAGGATAGAAATCGAGGAGGATGAAGCCCACGGGCAAGGGGTGAAAGTGTTGGGGTATAGGAAGATAATGACAAGATAAATGAGATTAGAAGTCGCTGTGTTCGTAATATTCGAGTAACTCTGAGTCACATCAGGCTACTACCTTTGCAGAACCTTTCAAACACAAAAGAAGACGAAGAAGTATTGTCTTCACAAAAAAACCCTTAAACGCACTCAAAATAATAATAATAATGCCATTTCTGAAACAAACGTGAAGAGCAAGAATAACTGACCGTCTGGACACGGTAATTATAAGCTTGTTGCTCCTTTTCGAAACGAGCTTTGTCCTGCTCTTGTAAGTGACGTGATCGTGATGGATCCGGAACGAAAACCATGTATTTCAATTCGTCCTGAACAAGAAGCCATTTGATTTGTTACTAGCAGAGAACTGCGAAAATAATTCTAAAGCATTCTATCGATTTGGAGGTTCCTCGAGTGATCCACGAACTCTGTTTCACCTTTTCTGACAGTAGCCTATACGAACAACTCGATATAGACGCTTACTCGTTTCAACTGCTCCACTTCCTTGCTGATCGCCTCCAACACTGCATCATTCTCCTTAGCTTTTAGAGTTTCTGGTCCACAAACCATTTCCGGTAATCGCATCACACCGCCTCGTGATTGAGCCAGAGCCAAATCAGCCTTCAATGTGCGAGGAATGGTGGGCGTACAGAGGGTATGTCACGGCTAAAACATACCTTCAACTGAACAATTTGCAACGTAGCACGGCGAAGCGCTTCACGATTGTCGGACAGCTGCTGTTCCAAAAGAGCTGCTTCTTCTCTGCCCAACGACAGTCCAACTGGTGACGACGCATGAACTGATGGGGGTGACGCACGCGATTCTAGCCGTTGTATATTCTGAAAGAAAAATCACAGTAAGAAGGTTTCAAGATGGAAACTATGGAATGCATAAACCAGCTACAGATCGAAAGGCCAGAATCACAGCTGCGCAACAAATTAGCGCTCGATAGGGAGAATTCTGATGAGAATAAACCCAAAGAAGATGGAGCTAAGATTGAAAAAGCAAAAGCAATAGTGGAAAAGCGTAGCAGTCGCTGAAGTTGGAAAGCAAGAGCCGAGGCTATGAGAAGGGTCTCAGATGGAATAAGCATCTCGAAGCGCCTAATTGGCAGTCAGGTAAAAACTAGCCAGCCCATACCCCTTAAATAGAAGCAGCTAATGTGACTCTGGCCTTACGAGCTTTGAACAAAAACGAGCCAGAGCCGTGCAAAGACACGTGCTTCCTGCGTGAAACCTTCCCGAAGCAGTATTTTGAATGGGATGAAAATTTTTTCAAAGCATTGTTTCGTGAGATAAGACCCATGAGACATACAGAAAAAGAGGAACTCGAAAAGAGTACAGTGTGCTTCCAGCACCTAAGTATACATGACCACAGAAAAATGCGCTATACATGCCATGGGCATGCCGGTTCCAATCAACACCTTTGTGTGACGAGCAATGCTTCGGCTGTGTTGCCGTTCTGTTCACAACGACACATGGCGACTTTACTATGTTCGCTACATGCCTCATACACCAAGAAATCGAAGAAATCAGTTGTAAAATGTCGTCGAACACATTTTTACAGGCAAATAGGACAGCAGAAATCAGGAACCAGTAAGATATGAAAGGTATAGAAGTTAAAACAAAACGCAATTACGTTTAGCTGATAAGCTGTTCATAATTGAGTTCCACTTTAACATATTTCTGAATAAGCTGATCAAAACGGTTCCCAAGTATCATCACCGCAACAACACTTACTTACCGACTGCTTTTGTAGAGAATTAAACACTAACGCCTGAATTAAGCGTATAAGCAACTGGCTTTGACTCACTATATCGAGAATTCAAAAACAGTAGTCATGCTAGGGTCGTGAACGGAATGATTAGGTGCGGGGAAGCGCAATAGGCGTGTTCCAATGACTGATAGCAAAAGGGCTCGCACCAGAGCAAACCATCCAATCTCCCAGTGTGACTGTTATATTTGAAAGCAATGTCAAAACATTCAAGCGTACGGCATGCTATTTTTAATCGACAGATTGAATTACGCACATCGACACACAATGCGCACACGATGCGAAATTAAAACCTGATTCACCTCCAAAAGCGTCTTCCTTGAGAAGTTCTTAGCCATTTGTTTCAGCTCAGCATTCTCACGTTCACATTCTTTTAACTCTTTTTGCAGAGCGTCCATTGTCTCATCAAATTCTCTAAAACAAGTTTTTGTACCGTTTGTACCGAGGGGCGGATTGATTGAAATTAAAATCTAATTTCGGCAGAAATTGCAACCAGTCAAAGTTTGAACTGAACCCACATTTGCTTTTTCTTATTATCAGCCACCAGTTGTTCGATTTTTGCCTCCAAGTGTTGAACTTTCACATTGTCCTGTTTCCCTGCTGACTCGATTCGAGCTTCGGCCATGTCCAAGCGAAGCTGAAAATGGAACTACTTGCTTCAGATGTACTGAGGAAAACCTCAGCCCACATAACTTCGGGCCTCCTCTCGCTTCAGTATCAACATTCAATCAAAACTACCTTGTAGTTACTGATGTCATCCAATCTACTTTTGATCGTCTTCTTCAGCTCCAGTATTTCCATATCCTTCTTTTCCAGCTGCCAGCGCAGACCCTCTGCTTCCGCGGCTGCTTGCTTTCGGAGATGTGCCCTCTCCAGTACAGGAGGGAAGCCCTAGACGACTCACTTCAAAAACCATTGAATATTATGGAAATGGCAACTAACTACCTTATCCTTCGGCTCGACTTCCAAAGAACCACTCTCCAATGCATTGAAAATGTTACTGAGATTTTCTCGAAGAGTCCAAAGATACTTGCTGGAATGAAGGGTAAAAATCTTAACACCCAAGTCCACGATCGGTAGCAAACAGAAGTTTACATTAAGAGCTGGCTATCACCGCATTCGTGCGAAAAAAAATGTCACTACAGCAAGAAAACAAGCAGAACTGAGAAAACCTTGGCGGTAATGACTCATTCTTCAACTAAGAGATCTGCTGCAGATTTTTAGTATGCTGGGCCTACACTTTTGCCTATACCATTCTTGTACGAGAATGACAAAATTCGAAAATCGCCAAATAAGTAACAGTGAACGCACTGAAACAGACCTGATTGGCTCAAAAGTTTTCTCCACTGTTATTGAACCATGTGTCTTCTCAATTTCCCCGTGTATCATTTCCTTCAGCCGTGTAGAATCAAATCCATCGAGCTCTAATACCAAATTGTTTAATATTTCTACTTAGGTTCTTCCATAAACATAGGTAAAGGTTTTAAAAATGGAATGGGCAACATAGAAGAACTGTCACATGTTGATACCTGGATTTATATTGATCTGAACACTAGCAATTCCACAAGTTTCATGAAGAATCAGGGCAAATCTTTCCAAGTTGTGTAATGCCGACTGAATATCGTCACTAATCTGGAACAGAATTTTTCGATTGCTTGTACGAACACAAAGCATAATAAGATACAGACACATATTTTACAAAAAAGGCTCTTTAACCATTCTTAGCAACAGTTCAAAGCCAGGCTCGCCGTGGCTTACCTGTGGTGTGAGCTTAATACTATTATCGGTCGGCACTCGCTTTCCAGCACGTATAGCAAGCTGTTCACACTGGGCCAGCTCGTCTCCAATAGTGCGCACCAGCTCAGAAACGTCACATCCTTCCAAACCAGGCTACAATCCAGAAGTGCTTACAGAATTGCCATGTAAAATGTGAAAAAAAAACGATGTACCTTCAAGAAAAACGAAATACGCTGGTTGTTCACTTTGCACCAAGCTATCCCGCTCACAAGCTGTTGACACACATTTCTTAACCAGGCGGGGGTATCATAGCTGTCAGCACTGACATTTACCGAGAGCACGTTCTGAGAGATTTATAAATTCGCTCAACTTAAACAATATAAGCGACCTCAAATGAATACCTGGAAATATGTAACGACTTTTTCCATATTTTCGAGCGAAGTCTCTGCATCCAGCCTCGACTGCTTTAATAGTTCCAAGTATCCATCAATAACTCTTTCCTGAGAAGTCATCTCAGGCTGTAGTTGAGCCAAACGGGAGAGATCCTCCAAGGAAATGTTGCTCAAAGCACTAAAAGCAAGAGATAACGGGCCAAAATCAATCAAAATCAGAATAGGATCTCAAACTAAAGCAATTTAAACCCTTCACCTTTCGAACTGACCACAAACAGCTACTAGGGCGTTCATGGTATAAGCAATTCGAGCTGAGTGAGCCCAGTGCTCGGCCTTATGGGATTTCGTAACATGTTCTCGACGAGTCCCTCCAGGGACACCAGGAAACTAGAGGAACATATTACGTTCAAGGACCATAAGTAATGAAGAGGTAATGGAAAGAAATAAAGGAAGCGATCCAATAGTTAAAATCAATGAAATCAAAATTCATCATCCAACAAATATGTAAGCAAAGAAGGGCACCAATACATACCCGTTCAGCGATCAGCTTTGTGAGAAGTTTTGCTTTGGATGCCAAACGAGGGAAAAGCACATTCAAAACAACAGCGTCGTTATCACCTACAAACCAGTGATCAAACTTTTCAAATAACGAAGACAAAAACTATGAAAAGGAGGATACTGCCATCATACCTCCTGCTTTGGTGAAATTGTCAGGAAGAAACTGTTTCAGATAACCCATCTGTTTTCTGGCACATTCCACCTCAATAGCTGCCACTTGACGTTCAACTGACTGAAAATCCATGAATTCACTAATTTTAAAGAAACCATAGAAAAGTTCAAACTCCAGTCAGCTTACTTCAGCAAATGTCCTGTTCACGTTGACTTGCATCTGGCTCACGATACTTGCCATGCTGTTCTCCTCAGACTTATGACCACTAAGTTCTTCTTGATACCTCAGCACCTTAAACGGTTCAAAAATAATATTAAGGAGAGATAAACGAGGTGTCTAAAACGAGCTGGGTTTGAAGAGGAAAATAGAACCGGACATACAAAAGAATCACCTGATCCTTGAGCTCTTGAATTTCCTCATTCTGCTCGCCAACCTTCTTTCTAAACTTCATGATTGTCGAAACAAGCTCATCTCGATGGTCTTCCTCCTGCTTCATTCTTTGTTGAAGCTGAAAAGATTCTGCATTTATGAGTAAAACCGAAGAACACATTCAATTCAAATCATTATGAACAGAGATGAAGCAAGTAGTTTTTGAATAATCAAGGTAAGCCCCACACAAAAAGCCTCCAAATGACCAGCCATTCAATTGCAAGTCTGCTCAGCGAACCGAATTTTAATTCTCTTTTAGCTTTTTCTCTTCAGAACTTTGATTTTCTTATTGTCGACCTATGACTAGTTAGCTTCTCTGGGTTGAGTTTTGCTGGCCTTGTTCGTGTAACTTCATCTTTGCGTTAATGAGCTTTGAGAGCAATGAAATGAGTTGTTGAAATAATCAATGGATCAGTCAAAGAGACTCCAATTCTGAGAGTATTCAGGTAACAAAAATGCACTTAAAAGGAAACATTTTCAGACTTGCCTCATTGATCCTTATGTGAAGACCCTCAATTTCCCCCAGTAGTGCCTTTTCAACAAGTTTCTGTTCCTCTAGCATTTGCTCATCCATATCGCGATGAGCTTCAAGCTCGTCTCTGTCAGCTTCCAGCTGCCTGAAAGTAGAAGATATAAAATCATGAATCATACTCGTTAAGTCAATGAAATAAGTGCATTTGATTCTCAGTTGGTACTGAGAGATTAAGACAATATCAATGCATGTCCTGTTTCATCTTTAAAAAGTTTGTTAGAGTTTTATTTTTTACTCTACGCAGATCTTTTCGAGAACACCTTGAAAAAGAACAATTCTACTTGGACAGGAACGTCTCATGATGCCCGTTTTTATCGGAAACCCATCAATGATGATGGAGTTCCGAACGCCATCAATTTCACGAGCATATTTTTCAAAGAAATTCGAATAATCTGCTCACCTAATCTGAGTTTCCATTTCCATGTTCTTGTTTGCTAGATTCATCACCATTTCCTCAGCACCCATTGCAGCTTCGATCTTTAAAAGTAAATGTTAAAATCTTCTTTTGATGGACAGCAATGCAGTTTAGCGTTTAATACAACCAAGACATTCATGCACAGCTGGTAGGGTGAGTACCACTTTTCGAACTAAACGTTTAGGTAGATACTTTAAGGGTTTTCATCGCGAAATAACACAAGAATGCCGAAAGCATTAAGTATAATACACAGAAAAAGACCGCACAAGACCTAGCCCACCTCCTCCCATGCTTGAAGTTCTACTATCTGCAATAGAAGCCTATAACATTCATTATAACACTGGACACACAAAACATTCAAAGAATATTCAAGGCTATCAACCTAGCAAGCCTCTACGCAAGCCAGTCACACTCAAATTATTAACAAAATGAGTCGTGCAAACGGGACTTAGGAACCTCACAAAAACCAATTCCAACTTTCTCATAGCACGGTGTAGACAACGTGTAGAATTAAAGAACAGGATTCAACGCTTTGAGGCAGGACAGCAGCGAGCTTTATCAAAATCGGTAAAAAGGCAAAATTTTTTGAAGTACACCGTAAGGTTAGGGAAAATTGAGTAGGGTGTGGTTACAAGTGCATTACTTAGATGCTTCGGTCATTGAACAAGAGAAAGGCAGGATTATAGCGTTCCGGAGTTATACAGAGCACTATCGTACGCTGAATCCTGTTGAAAGACGTGCGTCTGAGCAAAAGACACAGAACGAAACCCAAACACACAACTTTCCCGAATCTACCAGTGATATAATGAAGTCTGTTTAGCAGCACTGTTTCACCAAAAAAAAAACCAACCTGCTCTTGGTAATCATGAATACGCATGTCCGAATCAAGCGCTGTTTTCCTTGCAATTTCAGCAGCTCTCACAAGCTCGACGTTCTCCGTCCTGAGAACTTCTGCTTCTCGCACCGCTGCCTGCTTTTCTGCTTGTGCAGCAGCGTTGATATCACGCAGTCTGAACGACAACCAAACTAATTGTATTCCGTTTAAATCCGAGTGAATGCCTAAAAATTCTGAGAACTGGACTATAATAAAACTATAATGAACTTCTAATAACTATTCAGAACGGATAAACAAATTTTCAGTGAATCCGCTCTTAACTTACTTGATTAGTGCTTCCTTCAACCTTTCATTTTGAAGTTCTAGTTGTTTCAACTGCACACTATTTCCCTCGCTGATAACACCGCCCGCGCCGCCTGCCATTTCTTCGCGAAGAATTTCGAGATCCGCTTCAAGCTCCTCGTTACGAAGTTTTAGCGAGTCCAGCTGGAAGATGGCGGCTCAGGGTTATTGTACTTGGAATTTCATACAATGAAAATCGGCTTATAATAGTCTACTTTTAAGAATAAAAAAAATATTACTAACTTCGGCAAATATCAACACGCACACCTGTTGTTACCCGATGTTGGGTAAATGGACAAGGCTGAACGTGCTCACCTCAGCTTGGAGCGCTTCGGCTCTTTCTTCCGCCATCTCTTTGTCAATGGTAGCCATTTCTAATTGCTCAGCAGCCGAACTTAATTCGTCTTGATTTGCTTCCTTCCATTCTCGACTCTCCAGCGCTTCCTGATGTCGAAGAGATAGGTAAGATACAGGTTTACAATAGAGAGAGAACAAGAGTTTGGAAATAGACATGGTAAAACTCCTCGAAGTTTTAGCCGAAAAAAACCATGAGAAAAAAAAANAAAAAAAAACAACTCAAAACACATAAGTACCTTTCTTGCTTCTTGAAGCTGGCGTTGTAAGTCAAGAAGTTGGTCCGCCATCTTTGACTTCAACTCCATCAACGCTTGCAGCTGGATTTTGCTTCTCTCGTAATCAACAAGTTTGCCATGATCTTCTTTGCGTTTGAGTCTGAAGAAAAGAAAAGCTTCGAAAGATTTCCTTCAGATAGCCCTAAATGAGCCAAAGAAAAAGTGAGGTATGAACTAAGTAATAAGTTCAACAAGTAATGAGAACAGAGCAACAAAAATTATGCCACAAGTCTGCTACAACGTACCTCAATGTCTCCAACTTTTCAGACAGATCTTTGACTTGCAGTCGGAGATACTCCTGTTCAGTCCCTTCATCCATTCCAGCTGGGATTGTGGTACGAATAGGGGACAACGGAGTCATCGGAGATGCCGACTAGAACATTCGGATTATAATTTGATTTTCAAGGGTAACAACATTTTCTTCAACAGCAGCATTTGTCAATAGAAAATGGCTGGGATCTCTACACAAACTCACTTCTTGCAGCTTCTTCACTTTATCCATGACGCTTTCAGGTTTTTCAGGGCTCTTCTCTACAACTTTTTCAGGAACTTTCTCTTTTTCCTGCTTTTCCCCTTTCTCCGAACTAGCTTGCGACAAGTTTGAAGGTTCTCGAGACATTTTTGGCTGAAATTCTATCGTTGAAGGAGGAAAACTGATGGTGGGTGAGGTGTTGAAAACCAATCTCAAGCCATTGTGTCGGTGAGATTTGGTAAGCATAGAAATGAGTGGCTCCGTTAAAAAAGCATAGTAGAAGAGGCGTTGTTAGTTAGATGAAATGGTAAGCTGCGACAGCCGCAGCGTTTAGCAGCAGTAGAAAAGGGTGTTCGAAATTTAAGTGCCTTTGAACAAATCTGCCGAAAACTCGTTTGCAGCCACTCTATGACATCGAAAACAATCTGCTATGTCCATTTTAGCATTTTGTCACGAAGCGGTAATTCTTCAAAGTCTGCTATAAAATTTAATAGCCTCTTAAATTCGAACACCCCAACTAGCCTAATCCAATCAGTAACCTAAGACCCTACCGTATGTTGGATACTTGACGTGGAAGATTTTCTTCTCTAAAAATCTAGTAAAACGATTTTCAGAAGTCAGAAAAAAATCACAAGCAAGCAGTCAAAGGACAATGAAAAAACTTTGTCATAGGAACATCAAAAGCGACTCACTTCATTCGCATTGTCGACTAGCTTCGAAGATGACAGAACCCTTTTTGGTCCACCAGCTTTAGATAGGCGTTCGAGTGAAACGGATGGGCTCACTTTTGGGCTTCCCTGAAAAATGTAGGGAGTGGTGTATCAGAGCAGCTGAGTCAGGGCATTAATCCATATCCATTCTTCCAATAGCTTTCGAAATTGACCTTCGAAAGGACAAGAACTTGACCAAAATATACTAAAACCACATACACTTGGAGAAGAACGTGCAACTTTTGCCGGTGCAGCAACTTCCTTGCGCGGGGCCGGCGTTCTTAGCCCACTAGCACGCGTACGAGCCGATTCCGGTTTCAGCTAAAAAACTCGGAGATAAAATGACAACATTAAGAAGTTTTAGACTAATCTTAGGAGATGACAAATGATATACATTAACATGAGAACGAGAATCGAGTTATAAACCCACTTGGGTAGGTCGAATGAAGAGGCCATGGTTTGGTTCGCATGTGAAGTACTGTACTCCTTGAACAGTACCGTTGTTCTTACCCCGAGGATCGTCGAGTATGACACCAACCCATTCACCATCCGAAAATTGCACCTCACCACAGAAGGCAACACGGCCCTTACCCGTTTTCTCTGAAACAGAAATTTTTAAAGCATTATAAGAACGACAACACCAACTAACAATTTTTCTCATACGAGTCAAAGAATCTTTCTTCCTACGGATTTTACTATTCCGATTTACCCTCTTTGAAAACGGAATGAGTCAGCCATTTGAGAAATATTTGCATTCCCAAAGCCTTTCAAATGGAAACTTCCAAAAACTCACCAGTTTCTACCCGTGCTCCAATCTCAAACGACATGGGCACGGTGCTGAGCGTTTACTCTGCTAGATACGTATAGAAGCTATTTCTATCTGAAATAAAGATTGTTCAGACGATGAAAACGTAATGAGGAACAGCGATGAATGTTCGCAACAAATGATCGATAAACGGGAATATAAACATGAGCTAAGTAAACATCAAGTTAATTGGAAATCGATGAACTTTTTTTGTGAACCGGAGCACGAAATTTCGAACTCAAGAACAGGAACTCGACACCCAAATAACTAACGAATGCAATTTGGAAAATGGGACAAAGCGGGTGAGCAGTGATAAGTAGGTAATCAAGTAGATTTTTATACCGACTTGAGAAAACAGACGAGTTGGGATTACAAAGCTTAATACGACCAAGGACTATTTATGTGACGCATCGTCCCCAGTTGTTGGTTCACAGATTTTTTGGGTGCAACATTTGTGCGGAGCACTCTTTTGGGATTGGAGCGCGTTACGTTTTGCTCCCATCACTTTCTAATCACTTTGGTTGATATTCCGAAGTATATGCGAGAAGAACACGGACTCTTCTAGTTAAGCACGGTTTTTTCTTTACATTCAATCCCTAGTTGTTCTGCATCGCGAAATTTGTGGGCGTACTCAATACTCCCACACTCAATACTTCATAAGGCGGTTGAATGCATGGCGTAATCCAGGTTTTTGGAACGCTCAGATGTTAGAAGGAGCTTTGGTCTATGGTGGTCAGCCTTGTTCCATATTTGTATGCTTAGAATGTTCCGAAGCCGGCCAAAGGCTTGAATATGGTAGTACCTGCGAGAGGATTGGATCCGATTACGTCCACTATGCATTACCCCCATCATCAAGAAGACGCAAATGCTTTCAGAGTATCCAACGATTTTTACGAATTTTCTAAATGCTCTGAGAATCTACGATACAGGTATGTCTAAACTAATTTGAAGAAATTTTAATTTTCAAAATTTGAAAAAAAGTACAGCCCTAGCAATCTACTTAAGGACACCATCGAAGCCTGTATTCGATATTCCACTCGAAACAACGTCTACAGAAAATCCGTTAAAATTGAGTAAGTTTTTCTGCAACTGCCGATATTTATGGCTACGAGAGCTACATGGTCTCAGCACGACAATGATGGTAGGTCTCAAGCAGAACTTAGAAGTTTGGCTTTCCAAATGAATACAGTAGTAGTTTCCAAACCTTTTGCAAACTTTTCGCAAGGGTCGCTTTTTTTATATAAATAATTGAATAAGTAATCGGAGGGACATATTTAAATTTTAATCACATTGCTAAACGTTCACGCCCTTTTAGAGAAATTTTGGAAGAAAATTAAATAATTTTAGTATAAGCCTATGAAATATTTGAAAACAGTTGTGCCTACTTTCCTGCTTACTTTACCTACACGAAAGATGTAAAACAAAGCGATATCCTAGCCTGTTTAGTCAAATTCGCTCAAGGAGAAGCTCTTCTGGTCGTTTGTGATCGTCATCTGTGGGCTGATATCAATTCTGAATGCCAACGTCATCCTAGGGAGCTACTACGATCGATCATCTACTCTTATCACTTTTGTACCGGTAGGTGCTTCAAATCGTCTTTCAGCAGGCTTTTCTAAGTTACTGTAAATAGAAAGTAAACATGTGAGCATACAACTGCCACCGTGTTTTCAAGGGGAATTCGGTTATACGGCGCGTTCCATGAGAAAATTTTCATTTCCCAGTTTTTTCTATGTCACCGTGAAGTAGAAAATGAGAGAATGTGAGTTCACCAAGCCAGCTTGAGTTTATACAATTCAGATAGTTCGGGTAGGTTGAGAAATTCGAGGGGAATTCGTGGAGGTGGTAGGAGGGGAGTAGGTGGTAGTTACCATCGAATCATGTGTATGTCAGTGGGATCCCTTCTTCCCTTCACAATTTCTGAGAGATGAGAAAAGTGTGGAAGCTGTAATTACGCGTGGCTCATCCTGAAGCATCAAAGATCCATTTTTCAGGTGAAAGAGATGAATTTCCCCGCCTTAGTGTTTTGCCCGAAAAATGCCGATGGACTGCAGTACGATAGCCTTTATGAAGGTTCGTTATCCTTTTTTCAACAAATTTTGCTTGTGAGACAAAACAGCTAATATTTGGAATACCCCGAGGAGGCTGAGTCAGGAAGAAAGCGGAGGGATTCCCGATAAACAAGGTTGCAGGCTACCATCTCAAGGTTGCAGGCTACCATCTGGGAAGGCATTCCGAAGTTTACCCAGGCAAAACAAACTGCACAGGATTCAGCAAACCTTGAAGGTAGGAATGCCTATCCTACAGGTATGTACCTACCGCCCTACCTAGCGCCTGTAGGAGAGCACAGGGAACGTAGGCAATGCCGAGTCAACCAGTCATGCTTTGGAAGGAGCGGAACCTCTGATCTTGAAGAATGTATTGAAATTCTACAGACTTTTTTCTATGTCGATTCTGGCCAGCAGTTCTGCTTCCGGAACTTCTGAAACATCTTGTCATTAAGATTTTGTGGCGAACGTTGGATATGCGGACAATAATACTGCAGACGAAGTCATACAGTATATCATAGCAGGCAGTGGATTCGATAACGTGGATGTGACGCGGTGGTCTGACGAGGACAAGTAAGTTCATCGATGTTATCCTTACCCAGTAGCGACTAGGAATTGGTGTAAAAGAAAAAGGTAAAAGCGCTTTGTCAGTTTGTCAGTTTGTCAGCGTTTGTCAAAAAGGAAGCAGTTTGTCAGCGCAGCTTTGCGCAGAGCCGTGTTATCCTTTCCTGAAAATTCTATTCAGAATGGAGCTGAACAATCTGTACAACACTTGGAGAGCAAATCGAACTGTTCTGGAGATGTTCGACTTTATATTCAATCAAAACGGCTATCGGTGTGACGAGGTAAGACTCCTCCTCGTTTCAATCCTTCACATTCAGAATTTCGGGCGTTCTTCCTTTACCTGAACGCAGTGTTTGCTCATCAAGGGACTTCCGTTCTACTGCCCATCCCTGCCCATCCCTGTCCACTCCACGCCCATAACGGACAGATATCCGTCACCTCCTCAATCATACAGAACTATGCCCCCATTCTACCACTTCCCTAATGCCAGAATAGGCTTTCTTGACTGAGTTGTCTCAGAGCATTTTCAGTTCTTCGATTCATGTTGGGCAGGATCGCAAATATTGAATTGCTGTGAAATATTCAAACCCGTCTACGTCATGTTGCGAGGGAGGTGAGTAATAAATTAAATATTCTTGAAGAAAAATTATTCCGGCGGACTGTAGGCCAGGCTCAGCAAAATGCATTGAAATTGCCTGAAAATCAGCCGTCTGTCAGTCAGTTGGCCATCCAGCCAGTCAGCCACTCAATTTGGCGTCTGTCTGTCTGTCTGTCTGTCTGTCTGTCTGTCTAACTGTCTGCCTGTCTGTTTTTCTGTTATCCTTGCACTGTCTGCCCGTATCTGTAAATGCTCTTTCTAGATGCTTTCGACTAGTAGACGACTACAAGCAGAAAGATGTCGACGAAAATGCCAAAATATCTATACAACTGAATAATGTGCAAACAGGAAGCTTAACAGGGAGAAAGAACAGGGTAAGTCAACCAATCCATCTAAGCATTCGGGTGGGCACTCTGAAGACGATTGCGACTCTCCCGCTTACTGAAGTTGCTTCATGTATTGTCAAATTCTACGGAGTGTCGCCCTGATCTCCGATTTGCTTTGAAAACGTGATAACTTGTATTTGTCTAGATCCAAGTTGTTCTGTACATTGGCGATGCTTATCAGGAGGTGGGTATTTACCCAAGAGTCTATTTGAACTATCATGATTGGAATCGCTTACGATTTGTCCAAAGACGATTGTCGATGCTACCCAATAACCCACAGTGCTCATTAGCTCCTCTGAATCAAGGTACGCTATTGCTACTATTATTTGGCATTGGGGCAACTGAATTCACCATTTTTAGGCAAGTCTACCTGCTTCGTGTATAACTGGTTAATGAGAGTTGTGGTAAACCCGCTGAACTGTACGGTACCGTACTTCAAAGGGATGTTGCCGTATGTGGACGACGTGCCTTCGTGTGAACCACTTCTTCTGGTCAATAACTACGCCAATATCACTTCGACGATTCTGGAGAATTATCATGTGGGTGTCTCATAGTTCGTATGGAGGGTGTAAGGCAGCGAGCGGGCCTGCATTAAGTTAGAACTGCAGATGGCCAAACCTCCAGAAAATATCCCTTCAACAGTTGAGCCGCTACTGGTCTTTATGGAAATTTCCAGAATCCTTCGCCTTCCAGCATAATCCGAGGGGTATCCACTCGGATTCTGTTGGTGTTTCCTATAAAGCCCTCTGCCTTCTCATAATTTATATGCCTGTGAAAAATCCTAGCTAGAGTTGTTTTGAAGTAATTTTCAGTGTCTCCCTGCATGTGAACGTATCGAGAACCACATGCAGATGACCACCAGCCCTGACTACAGCCGTCAATTCAGTTATTCGTTTCGAGTGGAAGCCTCTTTTACTGACTTGCAGGTAGGTAGCCGATTTGAGTTCAAGTTTGTAACTAAAATGTGACCCCCCTTATCCCATTGAGTGGACATTGGTGACAGCCCTTTATACATAGGTGCCTTGCGAGAGAAAACTCCAGAGTAGTATGAAACAGGCTATTCAGGATAGAGTGGTTTACCAGTTCTGGCGCCGATACCCTGTTCATATCGGTATTCTTCATCTCCTACCACGTACTAATAATGCGCCATTTCTCGCTCATGTTGGACAATAAATAACGGAGAACTGTTGTATTTTCAGTACGAGAGCTATTCCGAGATACGTCTAACATCTCCTGCTGGATTCATTTCGGAGCTCGGTGGTCAAAGTGGCCTATTCGTCGGGTGTTCAGTGATGAGCTTCGTACAACTCATCCTCTCAGTTCTAAGCCTTTTTGTTATTTTTGCTCGTAAAATCTATGTGCGGTATTTTTCACTGGCTCTTAATGTTAAAGTAATTCCTGCAGATGATATAGTAGAAAATGTTCCTATTAAGAAATAGCAGCCGTAGACCCTTTTCGCGATTATTCAGTCTCTAACTCTCATTCGTTTCTGAAACACAGGTGGTAGGGCATCGTCGAGCCGCTTCGCGACCGCACGTTAACCAGCCTGACATTTGCAAGAATGACTGTTCAAAATTTCTCAAACGATCATTCTTTTTTCATGTTATGAATGATTACATCATCAACTATACTACTCAAATTGTAATAATATAAAGTATTACTCAAAAACAAGAAAATGTACTGGATGCTTTGAAGCTTTGTGCATTATTCAAGAAAGAAAGTTACATCATTTGGGACAAACACATAACACACGTGGGTGCCGAAGAGATCATGGATCACCCAAGCAATCTGTCAGTTCTAATAGCTTCTATCGTTGTAAGCTCAACGGCACAACCAGATGGTTACGATAGCATCGTCGGAGTCGGTTGTAGATGAACAAGACGATGCCGAGCAGAAATTGCACATATGTCATCACCGAGCAGCCAACGAACAGACCACTTTGTCCGCCCAGTTCGGAGATGAATCTTGGGAGGGTCGTCAGACGGATTTCTGTATAATCTTCGTACTGAAATAATTGGATAAAGGAAAAAAAAGCTACGGAATTTTAATTTTAATAAATATCGTCTCAGAATACGTTGAAACATTCTACTTTGAGGTAGTGAGGGGTAGAGAAGTAGAAGGGAAAAAATATTTAATGTACAATCCAATGTTTTCATCCGCCCACATCCGACTGGTACTACATATAACGGACTAGGGATAAAAGGTTTGGGGGTAAAGCTATGGTTCTATAGAAATGCTCACAAAGTTGGAATGGGATTTCCAACCACATGTGTGGCAACGACACCAAATGATACTAACCCATTCCCTTTCTCAACAAAACACCCACCCTAGTGTAGGTCTAATTTGGATTATATCATACTAACCTGAAGATTTTCAAACGATGCTTCCAGACGAAAACCATACTGTCGAGATTTACTTGTGTCGATAGTGTTCATAATCTCCCAGTGATTCTCCACTCGCTCACAAGCAGGAAGGCACTGAACAGGAAGACTCATGACTCAACAGCACCGTCACATACCCTTCATAACTCCAAAAATTGATAAATGGACTTTTGACCTTGCAGAGCAGCCACTACCACCTTCCAGCTACGTCCCAAAACCCCACTCATTAACTTTGCCAGAGCTACACCTTTAACAGATCAGCAGTGGAAGAGGTACTGAAGAGTCTTACCTTTTTTTTGAGTCTGTCATAAATGTCTTATAACTTCAGGAGATCATATAGCTCTTACGGCAATCACGTAATGGGCCAATTTCTCTCAGACGAGCAAAATAGCTTGACGAGTATTTCTTTTAGGTGTTACAAATAATATTACGTACACATAGAAAGATAATTCGCTTCAACCATGTTATATGAGCTTTCCTTAATTTGGACAGCGTTCATTGTTACGGGTAACTCCTCAATATTGGGGCAAAGGCCTTATCAATATGGTAATTTTCGGATATTCTGATTGCTTACGTACTCCGTAGTTGTCAAAATCTGTCGAGACAATATTCCGATAGTTTTCAATTATAGTGAGCGGTTGACAGACTGGAAGGTTTGCCAAATACGGTAACATAGTTTTGAAAGCTGGCAGCGTGCAGTTCAGCGGTTGTACGACACGTCTATTAATCCAGCTATGAACGAGACATGTTGATTTTCCTGAAGGAACATAGAGTTAAGGTTTGGCTTGGTGATTGCGGGCTCATAGCGGATAAAAAGGAGAAATCGATTGGCTCGCGTATGTCACGAAGATGTAACAGCTGCGGCAGTGGTATATGGCAAAGACAAGCATAGATCGTATTCAATGTCGAAAAGAATAGAGAAGATTAAAGGACAGTGAAGCTAGATCGTTTTTGTGGGTCCCCTGTACTTCCTACTTCGAAGGAGACTGCAGTTGCGCGATTCTTAGAAAGTTCTAGAAATCGCACCTCGATTCAGCGGAGATGTTGAACAGGAACTGCGTCCTGGAAACATCGATACCTTTCGCTGAGTGAGACGCATCCGATTCCAATCATTAAGACTTAAATATATTCTTGGAAAGACAGCAATCTCGGGATATGAATCGCTGATGTACGTAAGCACTTGAGGCTGAAAAGTCATCAGTTATCCAATCGTCACTAAAATTTCCTGATCACAGCTGAAGGCTGAATGATTCCCTTACTCTAGTGTTGTTTCCAAGAAGATTCCCACGAATTCTATGAAAGAACAAGGTCAGTTTATCTCTTTCATCAACGTCTCGTTGATAGTAGTTGTCGACTAGGCGATAGCATCTGAAAACGATACAAAAAGTCTCCTTATGAAATAGGATACACTAACTGGTCAAGCATTCCGTAAAGCAGGTGCCAGTCGAGGGATCTGCCTTACCAATTATCTCATGGTTCGACAGATTACGAATTGGACCTTCACATATGTANGTGGGATCTGCGGACAATCGTTTACAGGCAAAGGAATGTTCGAGAGCGAGAGGCACTGTATGGAGGGAGGGGAGGGCTTGACCTTTCAAAAGCTCCCATGAATTTCCGAAACTTGAACTTCCCTTCACCTACAAATCGACTTTACCATAGCATCATCTTAAAGTTCTTTTGTCATTCAGGTAGGATACTTGTTTATAATCGATTCGAAGGCTCACAAGGAACTAAGCTCTCGAACTAACCAAATAATCGATAGAAAAATAAATTTTCATATGGGCATGCAAAACGAATATGGATAGTTGAACAAGCAATGGCATGGCTTTAATGAATAAAAGACATCAGTCACCTTCCTTTCATCATCACATAAGTTGGTTCAAATATCCTGCAGCAATTCAGTGCCTTAGATGCAGCAAAACATGAATGAAACATCTGCAAAAGGAGGCCCGATATGATATGATAAGACATGGTACGAAATGGTACTACATGATATGTTACAACCTTGAATGAATCATTCTAAAAGTCCAGCTTCCTGAAAAAGGAAAGGGTAGCTGCAAGGATTTTATCCATACTCCTGTAGGATATGGTGAGCCGAGAGTTTAGCGATCAGTGGTCAATAAATGAACTCGAAAAGGAAGATTCTCACCTTTGTTCTGGACACACCCACACTCTTAAGCAACAGGCTGCCTTTGAGTGCTCACCTCTGCGCAAGTGTAACCATTCTGATTAAAAACGAAATCAAACATCTCCAATAGTGTTCGCTCTCCACGCCACTTAGCCAAAAGCTCGTCAAGCTCGAGTCTGAAGCAAAAAAAAATATCCATTGGTAATAGCTCACTACAAAAGTCCCAAAAGTCACATCGTAGGTGTTAGTTGTCGTTTTGTGACGATAAACTCCTGCCCTTTTACTATTTACGACTAACAGCTAAGCCACCTATCGTTTTGGCCATTGACTGATCTTTATTGGAAACCTATTGAAAAAGGAAGAACACTCAGTGGGCGATTTATTCACTGATTGGACCTTTCAATCACGGATGGGATCCATTGCCTGCGGAAAATATGATTTCCTACCATTCCGAAGATAGCTCGGGTGTAGGAATTTCGCTCTCCCGCTGGCATTAACAGTTTCGTTATAGGTAAGAGGGTACAAAATTTTACTAACAATAAACTTTAGTTTACAATAGATGTAAAAAAATTCAGGCTGCATGAGGAAAGGGCTGAGATGAAAGGGTTCAGTGATGGGCATTCAATGGAGTAACCAGGTTATGCGTATAATAGTAAGGTAAGGCAAAAAACGATGTCCAGCAGGCCATTAACGCACCTGAGTGCGAAGAACATCAGAAACCAGTTGAAGCATCCTTAAAAACAAGCTCATCACATAGTTGGGATTACATTGGCATGGGATATATAAGCTGAGGAGGATGAGCCCATCATCCGCCTCTCCAATCACCTCCAATCACAACATGAACAGCACCATCCTCTTTGCTCTAGTCGCTTTGGTTTGTTGCACATTTGCTGACGGTACGTATAGTTACCCTAATTTTGACGATTATTTATACATTATGGATTTTAAGATGCCCGTTTGCAGAGCACCACCACCCTAAGTCCTACAGCACAGGCTTTGGTGAATACGGTAGTGGCCACCATGGGCAGGATCACAGCCAATCCTATAATCGAGGTTACGTGAAAGGTTTCGACAAGGGAGGACATGGCGACTACGGCAGCCACAAGTACGGCGGATGGGGAAACTATGCCAAAGGAAAGGAACACGAAGTACATTACGGTAATACACTGCAGAAATTCGCTGGTGCTACACAATCAAACAAGCCTCTTACTGGTTTTTCAGGATCTGACTGGGACGACGACTACGGTAAAGGACATCATGGCAAGGAGCATCATGTAAATGGCTTCGAGTACCACGATGGCGATCACAACCAAGGACATCACGACCACGACCACGATCAGTTTGGCCATGGACACGACCACGACTATGGACATGATCATTACGGACCTCAGGATCACCATGACCATGATAATCACGGTGATCATCAAGGTAGGGCTACGATTCATCTGCTTATTGCGGTGAAAAAATTAGTGCATCCAACCATAGGCATGCTTTATGAGGCCGAACAACTCCGTTTCGAGATGCACCCATGTATTTGTTTACCAGTCAAAGCCGTATTACTGCTTGAATGAGTGTTTAGCCTGTATAATTTCTAGCAAACCCAAACGCTCTACATTTTAGTGGGTTTATAATCCTAGACAAGTCTGGTACGAATTAACCGTTTCAAGGGATAGAAGACTAAGAAGGAAAACTAAGCAAGTAGCGACCTCGCACCTGTATTTGTCGTGGGAGTCTCAGTTATTGGTTATATTAGTTATTTGGCAGTTTCTAACTAACATCTGCATGTAAAAGATGGAGAGGATCCTGTTTTCTGGTATTGGTCAATCCTGTACTTGAGAAGCGCCGCACTAGACTTTTATTCGGAGTCGCAGTTGCGTAATTAATGAGTATTTGGCCAAAGAATTGACTTGTGGTGAACAGCCGATATACAGTTCAGTGCTTTTGTCCTCCCCGACTATTTTACACCAAGAAATGGACTCCACAGGAGGGAAAACTTCGTTGCGATAGACAGGTAGTGATCCGGGATCCGTGTGGGTTGTGCACCACTTACCACTTCCTTGATATAAGTACAGAGGGCGCATGGATAGTTTTAATTAGGGAAAATAAAGGAGCTTTTTTTNTTTTTTTCAAAAAATTGATGGGCATCAAAAGATAAAGTCATCTATTTCAGGCAACGCCTATTATTGAGCTTTCACTGGTCTCAGAGAAGCCTTCATCGATCTACAGAGGAATTAACTAATTATGGAAATACTCCTGAAAATAAATCATCTAGCTCACTTGTAAAGTCACATTTCTTTTGATAGGTGTGGTAAACAAAAACTCCTTTTGTCAATATCAGGACTTAACTAAAACTACTGGTCGCTTCATTTATCCTTTCCCTTCACTTTGGATCCAGAGCTAAGGCTATACCTCCTTTCTTGGCTCCACTTATCTACATTGACGCTATCAAATCCACTTCCAGCGATCATATAAAGCATGACATCATAGAACTCCTCCTCTGTTACGTTGGCAATCCTCGACGAAAGATCTGTTTGTAAAGTGAAATCATTATAAGTTGCACCTCAGGCTATTTGAGTGAGTTGAGTCGAGAGGCTCAGCACACAGCTTCAACAGCAAAAGTAATATTTACAGTTTTAATTACATAACCAAAATAATATTGATATACATACGGCCTCCTTGATCTTAAGAGCACAGCGTTCAGTCTGGTCATGCAGGTTATGTCCTCTGAAGGAAATCTGGTCTCTAGGAAGTCAATGGGCGGCATGAACAAGTCCGATGCAACTATCGGATGACAGTAGAACAACCCACATACAGTAGCGCTCAAAAGTCTTCGGTGAAATGATTCTTCAGCCGTACTTTTCAGTCGTAACTCCTTTCCTACTGGATCTAATAAAGCGAAATTTCTATATTAGGAGCGTGGGTTTATTGTGAATATTTACCACTATTAACCTGCAATCTGATTATGTTCCAGATGTTCCAAAGGGCATGAAAATAAAATCGACTATAAATACAGANNNNGAATAAGTGCCGAATAAACAACTTTACTTCAAGCAAAATCCGCTACCGCAACAAACACCTTGCTCTATCTGTGGACATTGCAGCTTTGCAGTCAAATAGTGTTGGGTAGGGTGAAATATGCTCTAGTTAAACATATCCAAATTTCGCGCGATTTGGTTTACTAAGAAAAAAGTTATGAACGAAAAAGCGCTAAAGCATTTCACCGAAGACTTCTGAGCGCTACTGTATGTAGGTTGTTCGCTTCTACTTCCGAAAATCGCCACTCTCTTTAATTTTTGAACCCCTCTCGAATGATATCTTCCTCCAGTTATATCGATACTGCATGCTACATTGAAGGTCACTACATTCGCCTCAGAAATACTGACTGATGTCCTTTTTCACAAACTCTGGAACCAGGACCAAATTCAGAGCCACTCCTCGAGAGCTAGAGCGGTTTGGGCTCAAGCGATGGCTTGATGAAAGGCTGTTCAAAGATTTGTAAGGCTAAGCCCATCGCTAATTCGTACCATTACAAGTCATCAGTTCATTCTTCTGGCCAATGGAATTAAATGAGAACGGAGCTTGTTTAGAGAGATTGTCAGCTTTCAATGGATTTTTTTCTCGCTTGCTCTTCGGTATATTGAAATATAAACAAAGAAAGCTGCTAACCATTCAGCAATAGCTTTAGTTGCACGTTGTCGCTATATTTTGGGCAAAACACCAAAGTTGGAAACTTCAGCTGTTTCACCTGAAATCTCGGTATTCCTCAAAAAAAACTTTGATACTTGGAAGTTATCTTCATACTGGATGCTACATTGAATTCACTATTTTCTTCTTAGAAATTCTGATTGATGTTTTTTNTTTTTTATAAACTCTGGAACCAGGACTAAATTCAGAACCACTCCTCGAGAGCAAAAGCATTAGGGTTTGGGCTCAAAACGATTGCTTGATGAAAGGCTACCAAAGGTTTGCAAGGCTAAGCTAATCGCTAATCTCATATCACTCCTATTTCTCTATAGGACTTCTAATGGATTGTGATTTTACTACTTCAATGAAGCATCCTTTTAAAAAAGTGGCCATAAAAACCGGTAAACCGATACATTTGCGAATTTTCAGATTGCAAAGCCGTCAACGCCCCTATTACAGCTTCGAACTGTAAATTCTCACCGGGATTGTGGTAATCCTTGTGCTGAAACCATTTTCACTAAATGACTCCATAATAGAATCGGCAAAAAATATCGATGACGCCCCACATATCACGATCACAAACAACCAGAAAATCTTTTCGTTGAGCGAATTTGACTGAAAAAAATTGGCATTGGAAGAAGTCGATTCTACGTTATTTTCTTCAAGTTGGACTCATCAAACCTCAATAATCAGCCCTTGGGAGCATTTCCATGTCTAGAGACACGTCTCAGATCAGAAAAATTCTACAGATTATGTATTGGGAAGAATTACATGCCCCTCAGTAAGCGATGACATGGATATAACTATAATATCTGAAAACGTGGCCAAAAGGGCTTAAATTCAGTGGATTTCGGTCGCCGTAAAATGAATTTAGAGCTCTTGAGACGTCAATAAGTTTACAACTTGGCTTTTCCTGTGGTGGTACAATATATCGACTTTCAAGGTAATAACGTTCGCTCCCAGCAAATAACTTGATCCCTGACTTGCTGGTATAAACTCCTGAATGATTTAGACACAAGAAATGACATCTTTAGCGACCTGCCAGCTAATAATTAACCTTCAGGAAAATTTAGTAACCATCTTGAATTTCCCAACTGGAAGCTTTCTCTTTTTATTTCCTCTCAGATCGTAACAGAAATGGAGCTTGTTGGTGAATTCATGTTTCCGGACACTTCTTGACGATGTACAACAAAAAAGTGATCAAAATTCAGTTCTATTGCTGAAATACCCAATCAGATATAGCCAACCGTACTCACCATCATAAGTGCGGAGACTCCATGAAATTCTCGTATCCACAGATATCGGCAATTACATTTGAACTTGGCCACATCTGACGGATTTGCCATTGTCTCGGTGTGTGGCCCTGTCCTGAGGAATATTCGGCCATTTGTGCTGGAAATATGTATAAAGTACACATTATGAAGACAGCCAATGTAATCATACCTAATAAGAATTAATTATTGATTCCGTCTTTTCACTTTTCATCTCTTTATTTAAACTACAAAAATAGTCTCTTCAAAACTACATTTTAACCGAGGACCAGAGAAATACTGGAAGGTATTCTTTTCCGAAAAAATCTTTCGTAAAACTAAAATTTGTGGCTGCAGTTGGAAATGAAAACAAATGTAAATAGAACTGTCTTTTGAAAATAATTTCTAGCCAACATCTCTTTGAACAGAGAACTGTTGACAATGTCAAAATGGCAACAGAGTCATCTCACTTGGACGTTTTGCGATTTCCACGAAGGGTATACATTGGGGATGCCGGTCAAGAATTGGACAGCTTGAATAACTGATCGTAACTTGATAGCTTTGCCTTCGGTGGTGTTGTTGCACTAATTAAAAAGTATCCTTGAACGCCTTGCCTCATGTGATACGGGAGAAGGGAACGCCGTTCACACTTTGAAAGATGAATTTATGAATTTATTGAAAAATGGAACGTATTCATGGAACATATTCTCAAATAGAGCAGATGCTGTTGATCATTGGCTAGCGACACCGTAGTACCCTCCATGCATCAAACTCAAGTCAGCACAAGAGTGGGTCATTTTGTAGTTCCTAAAGATACTCGTTCTCTTGATTTGACAAAAAAGTTCCTCTACCGATAATTCCATCAGTCAAAACAACTTGAGTAGATGGAAGTAGTCAAAAATATTCCCCAAAATACTCGCAAGAATTCCATTCAAATTTATGCCAGCGCGGCCACTGTTCTGCCCATCCTAAAATAGCCATACCAAGAGAAACAGAAATAGATGATCACAGAAAAAACTAAATATTGGTAAAGAGTAGGTGAAAAAAGAGAAAGTGGTTAACAGGAAAAAAACAGAAAAGAAAGCAAATTCAATTCATTCATGTATCCTGAAATGTCACTTACACCTGGAATCCCGCAAACAAAATTCTCAGAGATACCCCGAAAGCATCGCTAAGTTACTGTAGAAATAACGTGTTTGCAAGCATATAGAACAATGAAGGCCGGTGAGGTCAAGTTGATGCTTTGTTGAAGCATATTCAGAACCTGCCAGAGGGGGTAGAAGAAGTGATTCACAAATACCGGTTCTTTGAGTACAGGACAGTATATAAACGGAGTAGTAGCCGGAAAGATCGCCCTCCAATTCACTGTAATTCGAAGCCGAACATGAGTACCTTGGCCTTCTTTGCATTGGCTGTCTTGATTAATGTCGTCTCAGCGAGTGGTAAGACAAAAATCTCATCGACAGTATCATTTTGAGGTTATAACTCCTTCAGAAGTGAGTCCACATTTAGAGTACGGCTACGGCTACGGTGAATATGGCGCTGGCCATCATGGACACGACCATGGTTCCAAGTATGGCACTGGCTATACGAAAGGATTCGACGAGGGGGGTTATGGCGACTACGGCAGCCACAAGTACGGCGGATGGGGAGCTTACGCCAAAGGGAAAGAGCATGGATCGTACTACGGTAATTCTGTGAGCGTATATCAACGTCTGAATGAGAACATGAGGATTTTCCAGGATCTGAGTATGACGACGACTATGGCAAAGGGCACCACGGCAAGGAGCATCACGAAGGCGGTTTCGAGTACCACGACGGCGATCATGACCATGGTCATCATGGACACGATCACGACGACGATCATTACGGCCATGGACACCATCACCATCACCACCCCCATGACCACCACCACCATCATCATCATCACCCCCATGGACACCATCATGGTTTCGACCACGATCATTTCGGTCATGGGCACGACCACGACTTCGGTCACCACGGCCATCACCACGGTACTACTTCCTTTTTTCACCGTTGTATAAACATCTATGTTATTTTTAGAAAGTGTCGTTAACTTTAAGTGGATACAGTGCCGCAATTCACTTAGGGACTGCAGATTAAGGTTCCAGAGCAATTCAGTACTTTTCAGGTCACGACCACTACTGAGGTTCTGTGGAAAGCGTGCCCGTTGCTCAAACATTGTTGTTCAGAGTTCTGTTGAAATAAATACTTCCAAATACAATCGCAGTTCTTGGAAAGGTCGAGAGGATACATTGCTTCACAACAACAGGATGCAAAATCAATAAAGAAACAGCTCATACGATTCCTTTGTTTGAATTTGATATTTACAATGTTAAATAGACGCTTATCACATTTTTCGCTTCAACGCAAGCGAGGCAGTATACTTGCATCGTTTGCTATGCGCCGGAAGTTTAAAACCGTGGTCTGAGCAGTAGCCCAATTGATGTACTTCATCGAATCGTAGGTTGCCAAGACAGCCAGCAAAAAACCTAGGTGTGACCCTTGAGCGGTTATAAACCGGGTCTCCAACTAAATCTGAGTATCAAGACAATAAAGATAAATCAGGTTAAGATTATCGGAGAGCAACAAAACCTCTTCTTGAAAGAGCGAGTCAGAAATAGAAGATTTTATTTTTCCCCCATATCGCTAAGCAGTGTGACAGTCATCGAACGCAGTCTGTTCCCAACAGCTGAAACTTCTCTCTCTATACATTGGTTATAAGGTTTTTTATGAACAACGTTTATGAATAAAGCTCATTAAATTACCTAGTTAGTTATTTTTGGGACTTGAAGGAGACAGTTCCTCATTTCGACAATAATAGGTAAACCAGTTGTCGTATCAAAATTTTGAAAATAAATCTTTAAAAACACTCCAGAAGTCAATGAAGTAAGTTAAATCTAACAAATTTTGGCTGAAAAGTGAAAATAGCTGGGCAACCGCTTTAAACGACTAGGTAATGTAGAAATTACCTTAGTTCCGTTATATTAAAATGATTTTGTGATGGAGCATGGCACATTGGAGCGCCCGGAGACGCGTGCGGCGAAATTCGTGGCGATTTGGAGGCTCTGGCGTTTATCATCAAGACGTAAAGCATGTACACAACACCATCATCGGCGAGGTCCAGAGTTGAAGCTGCTCATAAGCAAGCACTTTGATTTGATCGATATGAGCCAATTATAAAGGATAAAGTTTCTGGCGGTAATCATCTCGTCTGAGGCATGTGCCCCGCACTCGACTTGCATTAAGAATCGTTATAGCGTGGTATGAGTGCGTACGTGACCTGCGGTGGCCAGCCGATATACAAGTCTGTGCTTTTATCCTTCCAGACGAGTCTGGACCAATTAACCGGCCCCGGAGGAATGGAAGGCTTGGTTGTCCTAGGCAGATATCGGTCCGGGATCCGCACCCCTGACCATTCGTGTGATATAGTACGCCACTCGCCACTACACCACTCCCCCCTTTTGGAATAATAATTGGTGAAAAATGGAAGGAGTAGTGAATGGAGTGAGAACCTCAGAACTGCGATTTCAACCACTTTTTCGCGAGAATATCAAATACCCTAACACTTCGCAATATACCCTTTTCATAGCAGTAATGTTTTGACATTTCTGGAAAATTTTCGTGAATTCAGTTATTCTGTTTCTGTCCCTCTGATCAACCACTGTTTCACTACAAATGCAAAGAATCACAAGGTCATCTGGTTGAATCATCATCGAAGGTAGTTTTCAACCAATAGTCAAAATCATCTAATTTTTGGTAGCTTGATAGTTTTTGTCGCATTTGATGCTGGAATAAAGAGAAAGCCCTTCTCTTTATTCCAGTATCAATTGCGCGCTGTGAAAGGGATGGTTCGGATTTCCATGGGAAGAAGACGGTTGAACGAACAACTGCCGCTTTCCGTCGGAATTCGGGGAAAAGTAACACCACCCAGACAAGTTCACTCGAAGAGCAACAGACACATCAAATTACTGCCTCATGTATTGGGAGGTGACGTCTTTTGAGGTTTCGGCTCTCCGATTTCCTGATTAGCATAGCATTACCTCAGAAATTAGCAGTAGGAGATCTATAATCAAGCAGCATGTTTGATGTTTGGCCAGCATATAATGAATGATATTTTTGACGAATGAATCAACAGTGGTCACCCCTGTACACTCGTCCTTCATGAATACTCATGTACTCCTGAAGATCCCAAGAAACCAGTGGTTGGTCAAGTTTTGTGTCTCATACTGGAGTAGGGCGAGAAAGTTCCCTTACTTGAATTCTAGCACTCGCAAGGGTAAGTAAACATATGGAATAAAGCATATTTTGGTGCCCATACGTAAGGGCGAGGTGCGGAGGTGGTGCAGGGGCAAGTGACCGACTGTCTCACATGCATGGTCTGAGATTCAAACACAGGATTGAGAGCCGTTCATGAAAGCGAAGTATTCATTCTTTATGGGTCTATTAATTGGTACAATACTCATCTGGGAATATAGAACATGGCATTGCTTAGTGAGTGGTCGCCGCATGTATAAGTCATATACATATTGAATAGGCCACTGCGATTCCGAAAAGAATTCGTTTTTAAGCATTTTAACATCATACCTGATAGATCTATTCTTGATCTGAATGACATACTGTGAAGAAGTCAAAATCTGCCACCCACTCATTTTTTCAGCCTGAGGCCCCTTGACTTGAAGGAACGTTCATCTTGCGGCTTGTAGGCACTGTTCACGAAAAAGTGGTTTCGGAGATTTGCACAT